TGGGAGCTGCATCTCTCCACTCTTGACCTTCGTCATCACAGGGCTTTCTCCCTGCGTGCTTCTGTGTCTGTTCTCTCCTGTCATGAGACCAGGGCTCACCTGGCTCCAGGATGACTGCATCCTAGCTAATGACATTGACAACAACCCCATTCCCAAATAAGGTCATATTCCAAAGTCGGGGACATTAGGACGTCAGCACCTCTTCTTTGGAGTACATAGTTCAACTCACTACACTGCCAGGATCTGCCAGGTGCAAAACCCAGACCACCTCATTTGGTCCTGACACTCTTTATGAAGTTGATCAGTGGCTCTCTATCCTGAAGGTTTACAGAATCATCTGCAGAAACATTTCATTAGTTTTAAGATATATCTCATGCCCATAGCACACATTACATGCAACATATCCAGACTGGGAGTCAACATTTTAAAATGTAAAATGAAGGAGTCAAGTGTCCTGCAGGAGTACAATGCTCTCTCAGAAATGATGGTCTCTGAGGTCAACCTTAACTACAATGCTTTAAATCTGGAAACCAAAGCAAAAAGAGATAAAATGTTGTGTCTACAGTTCACACAGAAGATAACCAGAACTGTGGGCTGTCCGTCTCTGCCTGCCCAGCCCATGTGACCAACTTTGGCATGTATGTCTGAAGATCTACGTGGGCAGGTGACCTTCAAGTGGGAAGCCAGGTGTGCACTGGCCTGAGCTCTCTAGATTCTTAGTGAAGGGGGAAGTTCCTCTGGGTACAGACACTTGGCTGGAGCTCTTTGTACACACCATCACTGGGGCATAAGATGTTGCTATCAGAGTATCCACTAACCAGTCAGGGTGTGAGTTACAGGTAAGAAGCTGTCACTCTAGGCACTTGTCTCAAGCACTGTCTCCTTGGTGCTGGGTCCTCAGCCCACAGACACTGACAGAATACACAGATGAAGAAATATAAATAGCAATCAATGTTACTAAGTGGAAGTGGTCCTGACTGGAGTTTTATTTCAGGTTTTTCTTTCTATAATCAGGTTGGAAAACAGTGATCCTTTCTACTCCAGTTTCATTATTTTTACATCCTTTTCTCTTCCCTAAGCCAGAAAAAGAAACAGTTACTAATTTGGAAACTATTGCTGATTTGGGAACCAGCTTAAACCCTGTAAATATCTGCTCACAGTTCTACTGTATTAGATGTTGCCACCAGAGAATAGAAGAGGAAAGATTTTTAAAGATCATGTGATTCAACCCTGAGGCCTTGGAGCAAACTCCTGTAACAGTCCGAGATTCTCTGAGGTCACTGTCTTGTTTTCAATATCCTCCAATATCAGTGCCCAATTATTGATCCATATGGCAGCAGGAGGCCCTGGCTTTGCAGGAGAGCTTAGTTAATAGATGCTCTGACGTCCCTGTAAGCTACAGTAACTGCCTTAGCGTCTCTAATGCAGCTGTGGCTAACCCCTAATGCCACCGCATCATTATCATCCTTGGCCAATTTCACCTTCAACATTGTCTTGGTGTGGACAGTGTATTCCATAGTTATACCAACATTTATCCATGCTCCAAGTTTTGATTCAGAAAACATGGAAACACCCCCACCGCATTCCTTCTATGCTTCCCTAACAGAGGCCCTTTGACGTGCTCATGTGTGACTCACAGTTACTGTCTCTCTTGTTCAGAGATTGCTCCTGCCTCTGAGTTTGTTCCTGTTGTTCTCCCTCCCCAAAATGTTCTCCTTCCCCAACTCCACTTATGTAAAACTTAGCCGTCTTTCAAAGCTGAACTCCAGCACCATTTCTGTGATGTGGCCTCTGTCTACCTCAGCCCACACCGACTTCTTCCTTCTCTTAACGTTTACTTGTGACATTTGCTTTGCTAAAACAGGGTAAAGAGTGAGCACAGGCCTCTCTTCAGTGATGGATTGTCTCCTCCCCCAAGCAGGATGCCTGAACTTTGTTTAGAAGCCTGCAGGCAGAATCTGGTTCCTGGTTATGGTAATTTGATCCCAACCCTAACAGGTGACCATTCTTCAAAAGTGGTGAGCTAAAAGAAATGAGAATGTAATACACAGTGTAAGGATGCAGGGTTCTTTTACAAAATCTAAGAAAGTTGCTAACAGGACATTTAAACTGGGGGCTTCCTCTTGTCTGACCCTTGTCCACAGCAGGTGCTCATTTTTCCTTTCCAGCATCCTTGGAAGATGGTCATTCAGATTATCCATGGACACATCCTTTGAGACCATTTCTCCAGCTGGACCATCTGGACAGCAGGACGGTTTCTGTTTGTTAACATACTTATACTATAGTATTTCTTGAAGTTAACTTTGTGGACCATCTGCACCAGAATATTTGAGATGCTTGTTAAAATCCCAGACTTTCAGGTCCAACTCTAGGCATAACTAAATCAGCATTTGGAGCAAGGCAGGAAACAGTCATGTACATGGTTCACAGGCTTTTCCCAGGTGATGTCTGTGCACCACAGAGTGTGGATCCACCGTCAGTCAGTGGATTCTAGGCAGACAACTTATTCCATCTCCCTGATACCAAACTCAAGTCTTCACAGCGGCTCTAAATATCCTGGAAGACCTCTCTCTACCCTCCCTCCTTAATACTCAGTCAAAACCCAGGTTCTTTAGCTTTTCCTTACCACTAGGTCCCACACCCTGAACCAACTTGGACACTCTCATCTGGGTTCTTTGCTGCTTGTCAAGGTCTCTCCGGAAACGTGATCTCAAAGCTGGCACATACCTCACAAGGCATGAGGTGGGGGAGAGAGCTGGAAGGTTTTTAAAGCCTTTACTACACACCACCAATTTTGTGAAGTGCATCCATCGACACTCCTGCAACCATTTCAGCCTGAGGCAACCAGCGGAAAGTGTCATCACTTGGAAAACCTTTGCCAACTGAAGAGGCGCATGAGGCTGGCTCTTCAGAGTTGTGCTGACTTGGGTGGCTTTGTTTTGATTTTCAGGTATGGATTGGCAATTGGCAGTTTTTCTATGACTCACCTATTCCTGTCCTTTCTGGTTTTCTTCTTTTAATCGGTTCTGCCCATCACTGTGAAAGTGAGCCCCTCCTAGGCAATGCTTTACCAAATCCTCAAAACAGCACTTCTAGGTAAAAAGGCTGAGTCTTCAGGAACAGTGGGGTGCACCGCTTCCTCACTGACTTATTCCTTTGGTGAATCAACATCAATGAGGAGGAAAACTCTTTATCTTCCAGACACTTTGTAAACTGAGTCAAGAGGTCCCAGTGCTGGGGATTCTCACAGCTGATTTACCTGATACTCCAGCCTATAGTTCCCTTTATCCTATTTGGTATTTCCTCTGGCCTAGAGGTATCAGTGACCAAATAATAACCAATTAGTGGCTAGCAGTGCTATTTACTGATACAGGTAGAAGGAGGATGTATATGATTATTCATGTATTTGTCAATGGAGGTGACATGCATCTGCCCCAAAGTGAATATCAGAAAAGAACCAAAAAGGGAGCCATTCGGAGATAAGGCAGAGTCTGGAACAAATTAGTCCATTGGTTGACAGCAGGATCAGTATAAAGTCCATGTGAAGCGAGTGGCTTTCCTCTTTTTCTATTTTGTGTTATATGATATCCCAAGACCAGTGTTTATGAAATTAACTGAGACCCTAATGTTAATTCATTATTTATAGCAGTTTAGTCCAAACAGCTGAGCTTCTCATGGCTTTCGCTAATTTAATCAAATTCCATGCAATTATACTTTAATTAAAAATACATATGCATAAAGTTGAAATGCTGATATTTAAATCAATTGAATTTACAACCAGATTAGAAGAGAAATGCAAACGATTAATTACAGATCTGAGTTCGAAGCAAGGTTTAAAATAATTTAATCCTACACTCTCTTTCTACCTGGAAGGTAGCCAAGAACCAAAGGTCATGAATTCTCATGTCACACAGTGAGTGTTCATGCTGAGATTCAAATCCAGGTTTCCTGACTTCCGACTCAGACCCTGTTCATCTGGGCTCCTCCTTGACCTTTTACTATTCCTAAATTCACTCAAGAAAAACCTGATCTTCCCCGCACCCCAACCTTAAATTTTTTTCCAAGTAAAACCTCTTCCAGGGGTCAAAGCTGCTAATGTGATGTAAAAGTCTTGGTTCTGGGACTTGGCCACTCTAGGCAGCCTGATAAAAGTATCTTCTATCAACTTTGACAAAACCCCAATTTTTCCTCATTAGTTATTAACAGACACATACATGTTTGAATTTCAATGCCCTACATTTTGTTCCAAATTTTTCATAAATTTAAGTACTATGTAAATTATCAAATATGAAGGAGCACCTCTTTTCTTTCTTTCTTTCCTATTCGAAGTTTCCCATCACTTTCTTTTTAGACCAATAATTTTAAACAAGGCAAAAATTTTAACTTCACTTTCCCAACATTAAAGTTTTAGTTCCTTCATAAAGCACTGTATGCATGGCCCATGGGCTTTTCTCACAGAACCTAAAAGGAATTTTAAACTTAAACAGACTGTTCTCAATAGGGACACAAAGTAAATTTTAATAAGCAAAAAAATGCTCTGATTGACCTGGATACTGATCTTGTCCAGAACAGTGGGGATAAGTTGCTAAGCCTACACCGCCCTCCAGCACAGGTGCTTGCACGCCACTTCTTCTTCTCCCTCCAGGAATGCTGGACCCCACATGGAAGAGATTACCCCCTTCCTCCTCACACAAGGAACCCTCCCTCCTTCACATGCACCCTCTCCCCAGCCCCAACACACACACAAACCTACCCTGGGTGTCATCCTTAAGCACCATTGTCACACCAAGGTCTCACCTGTACAGTCAAACCCTGAAGCCACAAAAACTGACAACCTGCAAGCTATGTTCACTTCGTAAATGCTCTGTAAACCATGAAAGCCTCCAGAAAGTTTTCTACCTCACAAGGACCCTCCTGGGAAATCCAGGCACCAGACCCCCTCTGCCCTCAGACCCAGAGGTCCTCCCCGGGGACAGAGCAGGAGCCTAGGACACACTCACTGCAAATCGGACTTGGCAGTTCTCTTCTCCCAGGTAGCAGAGGTCACCTGAGGCATTGGTCTCCAGCCAGAGGTGCTCCCCGTTCACGGCGTTCTCCTGCAAGGAAAAGACCCAGCGGCTTCAGTTTTCTCTTCAGAGACAAAGAGGGAGTTTTAAACTTCTATTTGGATACAGGAAAGTTAGCCCAAGGAGTTTAAGCACTTCTCCTGGGACCACTTAAAATACTACTAGAGTGGATACTACTGAGAGTCTAGATATGGAAAAGGTGTTGGAAAACTTTCTTTGAGCTATGACCAAAATAGACACAGGGTCTTAAGTTGATTTATTTCAAATATGTGGTCATTTTTGAAAGATATATTCAACCCAAATGAGAAAAAAAAAATCACTAAATAGTATCATGTTAAGCCTTACTTATCCAGGCCCAATGCTGCAAATTTCATGACAATTGAGATCAAAACTCTATTAAAATTTGCCTTAACTTAGTGAGTTAGAAGGACAATAGTGGTATTAAAGTACTTTGAGACTGTTTCAAAAAAAAAACATTTGTATAAGCAGTGGGTAAATTATACTTCTCAGGACAGAGTTTTCTTAAAACTTAGTTTAAGTCCCTGATACTCAAAGCATTAGTAAATTTCTACTGACTCAAATATTTTACTAATTCAGTAAGGCCTTCCATCCAATTAATTCTAAATTTTCAAACTGAATAATTTTATTGTTTCTAAAAATAGTCACAAACTTCTGAGAGTGAGCAGGGCTCACCCTCTGATGTATGATATAATGAGCAACAGCCCTACTCTCCCAAAATATGCAGGGTTTAATTGGAGAGAGGAGTGTAAACACTTGTCTTTTAAAGTACCATGAACAGAAATCCATATTTCTTATAACACATTACATTGGAAAGGATGAATTTGTATATTAACTCTTTATTTGGTTAAAAAAGAGTTCCAATATGTTAGGGAAAGCATTGTATTATATTAATCACAAAGAAACAAGACTAAGTTGGCAGATCTTATAAGAAAATTTCTTATTTTACTTTATTCATTAAAAATAGATGAACTTACGGTTATTTTTCTGTGGAGGAAGCTAAACCCCAATTTGATGGTATTAGAAAGTCCAACATTTGGGAAATAATGAAGTCACGAGGGCAAAGGCACCATGACAGTATCTGTGTCCTCATACAAGGGGAGCACAAGAAAAATATTCCTGTCTTCCTTTCTGCATGTGCACGGGTCAAGGAAAAGTCACATGAGTCCACAGAAAGAAAGTGGCTGTTTACAAGCCAGGAAGGAGTTCCTCACCAGGAACCAAATCTGCCAGCACCTTGACCTTGAACTTCTTAGCTTCCAGGACTGAGAAAGGAAAGCCTATTGTTTAAGGTGCCAAGTCCACGGCATTTTGTCACAGCATCCTGAGAAGGCCAATATAGTGGATGGTTTCAATAAGGAGTTTTGTAGAATAACCAAGCAACTTGGAAACCTATCTTATGTATGAGCCACCTTTATTATAACTCAGTCCACAAGAGTCCACACTATAGTCCTCTGAATCCCAAAACTGAGCACAGAGAAGCAGAAATATAGAGCAAATGTTTTCTGGGGGAAAAAATAGTAAGAATCACCCATCTTTTAAAATGAATACATTTCTTCATGTTTAAATATATTTTCATTGCAGGGCTTATAGTATCAAATATTTTCAGGCAAGAATAACCAAATTCTATATTTTTGTCCTATGATCTAGGAGCTTCATGATGCCATTAAAGTAAGGTAAGTCCTAGAACATCAAAGTGGGACATGAAAGTGTGGGAAAAATGTGACCAGGTGTATAGTTGTCAAGGGTTAAGGGAAACCTTGAGGTGGGGATAGGCCAGATAAGTGTCCATGTCCCCCAACACCAACCCTAAAAGAAAAGCAACAACAATGAGGATCATCACCCACTACATCAAAGGGCAGCCACTTTGCCAAAGCTTCCTTCTCTTGTTGTGATGTTTATGACAAGTCATGCTCAATTTGTTCGCAGATGTCAAGTCACTTTGTCTTGTAGGACAATAACAAAAGAAATAAAAGTACAGCCATAAGGTTGGACTCTGAAAGTTTTCAGCTACATATGGATGATGACAATATTAGAAAATAAAATACAAAGACACTTCTTTGCAAGATATCCTAATAAGTCTATCCCCACACTCTAAAATAGTCTCATCATTCAATTTATCCAACTTTAACTTAAAACTCATTACATAAAATAATCCCTTTCCATTTTATTATTCTTTAATTCATTCAGCAAACATTTATTCCTTACCAGTGGTACTAGGTAGGCCCTGGGATAGTGCAGTAGTTCATAGAGGCAAATCTACCAAAGAAGATTGAAACTAAACACACCATAATAGCAGCAAATACTACAGAAACACATAACAAAAACCCTGCCAACTATTTCAGAAAATGAAGTGCAGAATGCTGCAGTAAAGATAAAAAAAAATGATAAGATCAATCTAGGGAGACCAAGTATTGAGTCTTGGAAGAGCCAGTAAGGCAGACAAGCCCTGGCAGGACCCAGAGAGTCAGAAGCTCACAAGTACCCCACTAACTCACTAGTCTAGTGGGCTGGATTGCGGGCCACAGGCTGTGTGCACCCTTCCACAGTGTACACCCGCTGCAAGCCTCCAGAGGTATGCTGGTCAATCCTACCTGAGAACTGGGCATAGCAACAGACTTCTAGAATTAGCCAGCCTCACTCTTGAGTGAGAACCTGATTTAAATGAGACACCCTTGGAAGGGAAAGGGTGTGTCGAGGTGGCCAAGTTTTGCTGTACCCTGCCACAATAGCTCTAGCATGCTGATTCTCAAACTTGGCTATATATTGTAACCTGGTGAGTTTTTAAAAACACTCGGATAGCAGTCCCGTTCACTTTGATGGCTCTGTAGTAAATCCTGGGCATCAGGACTATTCAAAATCCCTGAGGTGATTCTCATGTGCCGCAGAATCCGGGACCCACTCATCCAATAGTCCCCACTCTACATCTTTTAAGTTTTTTTGGATAATAGGTTATAGAATTTGTCTATGAGTGAAGATCTATTACATTTGATGCCTCTCGGTCTTGTACAATCATTTGTGAGAGAGGAAGAGAACCATGGCATGAGGGAGCCCAGTCAGATTTTAAGGAAGGAGGCATGGAACCCTAAGTACACTGTGAGTAGGCTGGGAGCTAACAATTCAGATCCTGAGAATAATGAAGAAGTTGAAACAAACTTGCATAATTCTTTAAAGAAACAGTAGAGTAAAACAAAACATCCATGTACTTAAACTACTGTACTATTCTGGGAAATGTGTTCTAAAAAAAACATTTGTAATGGAAGAAAAAATTATGTACCTTAAAAGGTTTATTTCTACCATCTGAAAATTGAAAAGTTGGAAATATTACAAACACCGACAAAGAAAAATGGTTACAAGAAGCAGGATGAAGTAGAATAATATACATGAAATAGGATATTATTATCACCGAGAAGTACAAAGAAGGAGAATAGTCCTACAGAAACTATGTGACATAGAGTCAAGCAAATAAAAGTAAAATTCGAAACTGATTGATATTAGGATCAAAGCTCTACACAGAACACAGAAATCAGGACTGAAAGAAACTAATCTATCGGCAGATTGATTTCTTGACCCACACACTTACTTCTACTGGTTGCTCCCCTTTATTAGAAAATTTCAAAAAAGAGTTCTCCTTATTCTCAACTTCCTTTCCACTCCATTATTTCTTGAATTCCATCAGGAATTCTTCCTTCACGTTCTATCATAACCACTCTTTTCTAGATCACAAGTGACATCGAAGGTGGAACCAACTCTCTCGTCTCCAGCTTACTCAACATGTTTTGACCCGGATGATCACTCTTTTTTTCTAAGGACACTCTCTCCTACTCTCTTTGTTTTTCTTGGACCTCAATGCTCTCTCCTTTCTCGTCTCCTTTGTTGGATCCTTCCTATATTGGCAAACTCTAAATATGATATTGGAGTGCCCCACAGCTCTCCTCCAACTGCGGTTAGTCCTTAGGTTATTTCCCGTCTTACCAATATGACTTTAGATCCCATAAAATAATTATTGCCTCCCCAATTATTCATTCAGTAAGAACCTCTTATTTGAACTTCAGGCTCGTTAACAACAACAACAACAAAAATTTAAACTGCCCTCTCAGCATCTCCACTCAAAGATCTAATATGCATTTCAAATTATAACATTCTCAAAAACTCTTGATTTCCTCCATCCATCAGCTCTAACTCGAATCCTCTCCCAGGATTTTCAGTAAATGGCATTTCCATTCTTACCGCATAGGCTAAAAACTGGAGCCATTCCAGACATCTCTCTCACGTCTTCTATCAGGTAATCTGATTAATCAGTTTCAAAATGTACATGGAAGCCCCATCACTCCTCAACACATCGAATAGTACCACCAGTTCTGGCTTGGAACGTTGAAATATCCCCCCATTCCAACTAGTGTCTCTACTCTATTTTGACGCCTCAGAATCTTTTCCAAAGAGCAAACAAAGTAATTATCTTAAAATGTAAATCTGACCAAGTCGATGATCCATTCACAACTCTTCCTTAGCTACCCAGCCCCTTGGAAGACTCTAAGCCTTTCCTTACCCAGTCCTCGGGTGCCTCTCTTCTTTTCCCATCCCTCTGCCGTCTTGTTTCCTGTCGACCTGGTCTTGTGTCATACTTCCTCTCCGTGGTCAGCATGTCATCACTCTGTCCCCTTGCTACTTCTCAAGAAGGGCAATGAAGCTCTCCCTCAGATGTGATTTTTTTGTTCCCTTGTCTAAAATGGCTTACACTTGACACCAGTATTGTGTTTTCCTCACTTAACTGAGGGTTCTGTTCGAATGTTCCCATAGCAAAGATGGTTCACTGTATATTCTATTTCTTTATCCAAATTTATTATCCCCTCTCCATTCTGACTTTATGTGGTTAATTTCTATTCATAGTTTGGTCATCACATCAACTATCACTACTTCAAAAAAGTGCTCACCCACCCCAAAACCTAAGTCAAGCTGTTTAATTAGTTAGTCAGAAAACCATGTTTCTCTCCCATCATTTATCAAAGCTC